CAATCGGAAAATTTGCTATCTTGCCTTAACAATGCCCACTGTGTTCTGTTCTGGCATGCTGCATTCATGCAGATAATAGGCTGCACGCGAAGATCAGATGCACCAAGGCAAACACTTCAATATATGACAAATAATATAGCTTAAAGTGTTTAGGCTAAAGAGCTTTTTGTTGAAGTAAGTATTTTCACAAAGTTTTAATCGTTTCAAAAAGCTTTCCAAGAATTTAATGCTTTTGATCTTCTAAGGATTGAAAATAAGGTTGTTGGGATCAATAAAAGCTTCACTTTAACGTTCAAAATAGGTTCTTTCAAGTGAATGTGAATGAGGTATTTATAGCACTCAAACAGGCCAAAAAAGTTGTCCCCAAACGGTCTCCTTCGTGGCAATTTGATCAATGTAGACTTTTGAAGGACTACCTCTTTTAATATTTTCAAGGTAAGTGACTAAGTAAAAATTTATACATCGAGTAAAAATAATTTTTATGCAATCAATTTGTATCTTTGAAAAATGGTTTGTACATAAAAATTTGCTTTGAGCTTTTAATGATCAATTGCCAAATATTGAAGTATTTTACATTTACACATATTCAAGGTATCTACGTTTAACATCTCAATATTTGACATTCGACTATTTTTCCGTGAGCTCTTGACCTTCGTCTTTACGTCCCTTCGTTTGTCAAACTTGTTTCCATGTTGATTTGTCGAATTGTAACTTTTGTGATATTTGATATTTGGCTTCTTCAATGTTATTGCAATGATCAGTCTAAAATACTTGAATACAATTTATTAGAGTAAGATGTAATTTGTTTGTGATAAACTGATAATCAAAATGAGAAGTCAACCATAGGTCAACAATTTCCTCATTTTTGATTATGACAAACAAGATAATTTGCAATATAAATATCAAACAAATTGTTATGAATTTTCAAAGATTTATTTGAGGAATTTGTGGAGAAATATTAGTTTTCAACTAGGGCTTCGAAGATGGAGAGAGTGAGGGATTCAAAAATTGATTTTGACGAAAACTTGGAGATTTAAGACCTTTAAATCTGTGGATTT